AATTAAACACCTCTCTACGTTTTGTATTGTCTCTTAATCCCCTGACGTTTAGTGATGCTATTGTCAAAGCCATAGATATTCTCTTGGGCAGCTTTGCAGAGGAAGCCTTACATCACCTGGTGTCAAAGCTCTACAATCGCTGCACGGTATGATAGGAATTTGTACTAGGCGTTTACTTCTAAAAACAAATGATTAAGCTATTAAAACATAGAAACCAAACAAGACATGCACAGATAAACACAACTAAGTAAGAAACCTCTTCGTAAAGGGACATGGGGGGGAAGCTAGGACTTTTACCTAGAATCTTACAGACAGATAAGAAAAACCGAAGCGCCATCAGTTACGAACCTCTATTCCGATCGCCTAAATAATTATCTAGCAATTGATAATAACGGGTGGCAAATGTGGACAAACGATACTAACGTGATCTTGGTTACCTAATGAGTAATGACATGATGAAGAAGCATTCTCACCTATCTTGGTATCTCGAGAGGTTTACCGACTGGCCAAATTTTACCTTTTATCAAGAGCTTATCCGGTTGTACCCGACTAAAAGATGCAGGGATGTTATTTTTCCTAGCTTCTTTAAAAGTGTCCATTTGCTTTCTTCTTCTTGCTACTATTTCGTAGGGTAGATCTTGATACATTTTAAATCTGCTTCCTCGCAAACGGGAGCCCAAAGCTAGAATTTCTTCACAGTTCTTATAGCGGAGGAACCTTGCGATAATTTGCCTGGGCTTTTCTTCCTTCTTCTTTCCTAAGCGATGAACCCTCTGTATTTCAACGGTGCTTGCATCTTTGTATCCTAATTCCGTCTCGAGGAAGGTGCGAACAACTAATTCAGTGTCTTCTTTGTCTGTTTCTTGCACAATATTTTCAAAAATTATATTTTCCCGCCTCGAGTAGGCTTCCAAATAGAGATTCTTGTCTTGTACCTCTTTAAGCTTAGCTTCTAAATCATCATTTTTCTTCTGCAAATCGGTTACAGCGAGATCTGTTTTCTCCTGGTAAAATTTTAGGCTCGCTGTCGAATTCTTCTGTTGCTTCTCAGCTTTATTTAAGCTTTCTTTCAAGTTCTCAATGTCGTGGCTGGCGGTTGTTTGCGAATATTCCAGCTTCTGTATTCTTCCTTCCAATTTTTGAAGGGACGTTTGGACATCATTTACTGTTGTTTGGATAGCGTCCAGCTTTTCCAGCTTTCGATTTATCTCCTCCAAAGCTTTATGAAAGCCTTCGGCCATGTTCAAAACCGTAAAAATTTCGTCTTCAACTTCGTGCTCCTCGACTTCTTCAGGAGAGTTTACTTCATCACTCCTCGCTTTTTTTGCTTCTGGTGAAGTGCTCGACTCCTCTGAAGAGGAACGCTCGCTTCTTTTGCGTTCCAAGATCTTTTTCAACAGTACTTCCATTTACCACCCGGGAAAAAAAAGAATATGTGGCGGACGGATCAAGGACACGTCTTACGCCATTGCTACCCCAGGCCCCTCTCCCTATTTTGCTATTGTATATCGTGCTTCTACTGCCACATCTATGTTATAACCGGGAATAAACTACATTTGCATCCATATTTACATTTGTAGCATGTATGAGCACGCGTGTCGCGTGCGTATGGTAGTGATCCAGCTGAAAAAAGCCTTGTTGAAAAATTTAAGTGGTGTTAAGTCAGCAAAATATGTAGTTATGCAATGTTAAAATGCTAATTTATTGGTATTTGGCAGAAGTAGCTCAAGATTAATTGCTTGAGTAATTTATACTACCTCTGGCGCTATATTGACATATTGCATATTGAGCGTAATACCGGCCTGTACATGTACCAATGATTTTGACAGGGGTAGGGTGGAGACTTTATTTTATATGCGTTACTGTCATTTTTTTCTGTTTTGTTTTGTCATGTTTTCATATACAAGGTTGTTTTGTTTATAATAGTTTATAATGATACAGCTGTACATGCAAGCTGAGTCAAAAGGTCAAAAATGCTAAAATGTGCCACATGTGTATTTATAATGTTCATAAAGATAATGGCAACACAAGTAACACAATTCATTTAATTTCACATTATTATCAATAAAGGTAGAATTAACAGTTATTTTTAGTGGGTTTAGTGACTTTTTTGTGTATTCGTTTCAGATTTTTCCTTGAGTGGTACAGGAATTATTTCCAATGTTCTTGAAATTGAGTTGCATCACCTGAACTCTCCAAAAGATAAAGAGGTCAATGAAATACAGGTTCAACATGGGGAAACTGTTTGTGGTCTGTGCATGAAGAAATGCTACAGGGGTATTCCAGTGGGTCTCAATTTATTTACAGTAATCATTTTTTCCTCTTCACAAGATGACAGAAATATTGAAGCTTATATACTGAATGCTCCCATCCATCAATACCCCATCTGTTTGGGGTAAATATCACAAAACAGAAACCTCACATGTACTTCCTTGGGTTATATTTTTACCATCTTTACAATATTATTTTTCTTGTTCTTTGTGCGGTGCCCTGCTAAGGAAATCCATGTGCCTTTCACAGTGTTCTGCGGGAACATAATGTACTGAAATTGTGTGAAGCTATAGAACATTTGCACTCATACAGGTTTCCCCACAGAGATATAAAGAGTGTCAACATTATTCTTACAGAGGTAAACAATATGTACCACCCAATGCTCATTGATTTTGGAAAGGCTATCTTGCTATCGGATGCCCCTTCAAAACAGCAGTCCATGACTGCTCACTAGCACTGACATATAGCTTAAGAAATATACCTCAGATATTATGTTTTCACTTGGCGTTACTAAGTCATGGCAAAAGTTTCTGGCAAAGTGAAAGTAGAAAGTGATTTTGTGGAAGGGCAAAGAAAATGCCTTCAGACAGATCCATTCATGTCTTCTGTCACTGCTCAAAACAAATTTTTAGCTGGAACCTTTTTTTTGTCCAGCAATTATAAAATATCATATTCCTATTTAAAAAGGAAAATCAAAAAGTTATCTTACTGTGTGAATTCCTTTTCTAAATAAATCTATTAAAATTCGGCTCATTTAGTAAAAGGGTATAATAATATTGATGGTGTAAACCCCGTTGGTCTAAGAAGTTTAGGTTTAAGTGAAGAAATGCACCTGATGTTATTGTTGTTGAGTGAAGGCTGATATAAATCTCGCCAGTCTGTTTGAGCAGTTTAAAAAGACAAATCATATTGAACTCAAAATCAGGGTTGTAAAGAGCAGCAAAGAAATTATTCATTCATGTCTGTGCTGAGTTTCTATTCACAAATGATATGAAATACAAAGCAATTTCACCATTTGTTGTAGTATTGGCTGTTGGGCTTTCAAAATGTGGTCATTTTTAGGAGGCTTACCATCAAGATGTGGTCATCTCTAGGTATAGTCAGTGAAAACTAGAACAAATAGCGGTAAGAACAAAATTGTCAGTTTTGATGTGAAGTTTCTTGAATAAATGGCCATGAGGAAATTGTGTACAAGTGAATAATCTCAACCCTGACTTTGAAATGCACAGAACCTTTTTTTTTTTTTTTAACCAAATTTAAGGTACTGTGGGTGGCCTTGTTATTGTTAGCTTTTTAATAATAATATTATGATGTAGAAAAAATACAGTAAATGATCTGACTACTGGACCTTTCTCCAGTAGATTTGTTGTAGTGTATTTACTTAATGTAAAGGGGAGGTAGTGTGGGCCCTCTGTAACTGTATACAACAGTTACTGTGTCATTTTGAATTTTTAGTTTTAGTAATTGGAGATCCCTGCCCATTGTGCGACCCTAGGCTTTACTATTATCAAATGACAGAAGGGGAATGTAACACATGCCCAGGTTATGTACCATTGACTCACTTCGAAGTGGTTATGTGATTTAGACTTGGACCCAAAAAAAGACCGGGGCCCAGTTGTTCCAAAGACCGATTAGCACTAACCCAGTGTTAGATTTTAACCTGTGTCCTGTGTTTCTTTTTCCTTTTAATCAAAAGCATTTTGTCAGATAATTTTCCCTTTTTTTTAAGTATCAAATCACCAAATTGTAGACAAAAGGAATTCAAATGAATTTGTTTTTAAAACTTTCATATCTGAATTCATATTTCGTACTAACCTTGGGTTATCTTAACCCAGCTTTAAACAACCCAGCCTGGAAGGATAAATGCTGCATGTTAATTTGTTTCACCGCCTTAGTTTTTTCTTTATAGCTTATAACTTTTCATGATCCAAGGCCAAATCAGAGCTCCTCTAACCCAGTAGGAGTCTGTTCATTTTTTAAGGGGGGCTTTGTTGGGTGGGATTTGACCGGTAGCTCCTGTATATGAAGACCCTCTCTTCATCAGAATTTTTTGGGGAAGCCACAACCCCGCTCCTTGTATCCCAAGATCAAATAACCAGGATTCAGGTGAATTTTAGCCAGCAAAAATGCTATGACTTTTTTTGGATTGAATAGGTAGTACTTAATGAACAGTGAGACGCAAACTCAGGGTTGCAAACAACAAAGTAAGAAAAATTAGCCTTTCATAAATTTGTCAGCTGAGTTAATGTTCAAATAAAATTGTGAGCAGTTTCACCATATTTTGTTGTAGTATTGGCTGTTGGGTTTTCAACATGTGGTCATTTTTAGGAAGCCCACCATCGAGATGTAGTCATCTCTAGGTGGTCAGTCAAAACTACAACAAATAAGTCCCGTATGATATATGCCCGTAATATTCTAGAATCAGTATAAATATTGTCGGAAATATAGAAAGAACCCTGCAGTATATGTATGACAACCCTTGAAAAACACAATATTTTACACCAACGTACAATGAAGTAATCTGGTTCCCTAATTCAGCTCGGAAGTGAACATCATGTAATATTAGGGACTTTAAGATCCAGGACGCGACGGCTTTTAGGACGCGGTGACCGGGCAAAAGCCTGGAACGAGGACGGCGTTGTAAGCGCGGGAAAATTTAAGTTAAGATTTGCGACGCGATGGGGTCATTAATGTAAATCCGTACGAAGGTTTTAACGAAGAAACAAGAAATGGCTTCCTTCCAAAAACTTCAAGAATTACTGCTACCTTGCTTGGAGGAGGAAATTATAGACGACGAAGAATTTTCAGTGCTTTACGAGGCGTATGCTCCACAAAATCTTCCATTTCAGCACTCGGCATACGAGAAATTTTCTCTCGAAAACAAAAATTCTGCCGAATGCAAGGCTGATTTTCGCGTCGATAAAAGGGATATCGCATTACTTGTTGAAGCCTTAAGAGTTCCGCCCATCTTCAAGTGCTCTAACGGAACTATCTGCGATGGAACCGAAGGCCTCTGTATTGTCCTAAAGCGGTTCGCATATCCATGCCGCTATTCCGACATGATGCCAATCTTTGGGCGATCGGTGCCAGAAATGAGTATGATCTGCAACCAGGTGACAGACTGGATATATAATACTCACGGGCACAAGGTTACACGGTGGAACCATGGTATTTTAAACCCACCTTTAATGGCTACGTATGCAGATGGGGTCCACTCTAAAGGAGCAGCCCTTGATAACTGTTTCGGCTTTATAGACGGAACTGTGCGGCCCATTAGTCGGCCGATGTCAAACCAGCGAGTTGTTTATAATGGCCACAAGCGCGTACATGCGCTCAAGTTCCAGGCCGTCACGCTTCCCAATGGACTGATTGCTAATATCTATGGTCCTGTAGGTAAGCCCCAGATTTTTTTTCTATTCACAAAGCAACCTTTTTTCCCTTCATTGCCATGTTTATGGAATTTTTGTTTCATTGTACTTGCCTCTTAATTTTGCCGTATTTTTTGTTGAAATTCTTTTAGTAATTGATAATAGCCTATTCAATTTCTTGTTTCCACGCCATATACCCTACGTGCTAATTAAATGTAAAGCCTGCATGACTTGATTTTAGCGAACATTAATGATGACATATACATCCTTAATTTGTTTTAAGAGCGGAACCTTTGTTTTCTTTCCTTCTTGTAGAAGGCAGAATGCACGATGCAAGAATGCTGGCAGTCTCCCAACTGTATGATGATTTACAAAACTTTGCATTTGACCCTGTAGGTAGAGCAATGTGTTTATATGGGGATCCAGCATACCCACTCAGGGTTCCATGACGAGCTTTGAAGCGCGAAAAAATGTTATGCAAATTAGCTGGCTGCACATTCAATGTGCAGACAGCTAATTTGCATAAGTAATTCAAAACCAAGGTCTGACAGCTCTAGGCTCTTGAGGTGTTAGCTGAATACCCTAGGACTTCCGTAAATTGCCCACAAAAGAGTAACTCAAGCTACCATAAACTGAAATGAAAGTAACCGCAATATCCGATTAAAGCAAGTTTTAAATCTTTTTCTGCTCGACTAACCCTCTTCCGAGACACTTACTATTTTGGTAATAATAAAACGCCATAAACATTTTACATTGCGCCTTTTTCAGTCTCGGGCAGTAAGTTATAGTATGAAATGGAGGTAAACTCAATAATTCAGTTTTGTGACTGCCCTTCAACTTTGAAACTATTTAAGCCGCTTCCTAAAAGGCCGGGAAAATGTTTTTCGTATACGCTACCCAGGATACTACAGGAATGATTAGAGCATTTTTACGAGTTAACTGTAGATTTCAGGTATACACTACCCAGGATACTACAGGAATGATTAGAGCATTTTTGCAAGTTAACTGTAGATTTCAGGTATACGCTACCCAGGATACTACAGCATCGATTAGAGCATTTTTACGAGGTAACTGTAGATTTCAGGTATACGCTACCCAGGATACTACAGGAATGATTAGAGCATTTTTACGAGTTAACTGTAGATTTCAGGTATACACTACCCAGGATACTACAGCATCGATTAGAGCATTTTTACGAGTTAACTGTAGATTTCAGGTATACGCTACCCAGGATACTACAGGAATGATTAGAGCATTTTTACGAGTTAACTGTAGATTTCAGGTATACACTACCCAGGATACTACAGGAATGATTAGAGCATTTTTGCAAGTTAACTGTAGATTTCAGGTATACGCTACCCAGGATACTACAGGAATGATTAGAGCATTTTTACGAGTTAACTGTAGATTTCAGGTATACACTACCCAGGATACTACAGGAATGATTAGAGCATTTTTGCAAGTTAACTGTAGATTTCAGGTATACGCTACCCAGGATACTACAGCATTGATTAGAGCATTTTTTGAGTTAACTGTAGATTTCAAGTATACACTACCAAGGATATCTGCAACGCAGATAACAAAAGCTCAGGAACCAAGGGGACCCTGCATGACCCAGCGAGGCTGCTTGTCTGCGAAATTTTTTTGAGAAAAGAGCTGACTCTCTCGAGTGTTGAACTAGAACAGAATAATCCAGAATTATAATTTTAAACATCAATTGCTACTGATATAATTATTAAGTTTTCTTACCTGTCTGGAGTCTCTTCCACCGATGTCAATGATCTGGGCGCCAAACAAACGCGCGCGGTACATATTTCCCGCCACAAATAATTAAAAGCACTTTCATGAGACGATGATCAAAATGCAAAAGCAAAATAGGAAAGCCGGCGCCAAATTTCTAGAGGCTAGCGATCGTTTGTTGGGCGGCGTGTGATAGAGTGAAACTGACAAAATATCGAGAAATCTGGACAGAATCTTTTTGTAATACATTATCAAAAATTATGTGAAATACATCATCAGAGAACACGTGCGAAAAAAATAATTTCGGCTCGATATTTTTTCTCGGTATTTTTCATCGACAAAAACCGAAACATTAAAAATCACGACTTACCATCAATTACTCGCCTAAACAAAGCTAAACTTACCAAAGTCGATAACCAAGTAAGGATTTCCTACAGAAATAATTTGCCACTCTCGTTTAGCAGTGTAGTGGTCGAACTTGACGTAGGTTAAAACGGATTCGTTTTGCCGGCATCTTCCCGTTAAATTAAAGTAGATTTAACACTTGCCAGGAGTAATTAGAAATCTAGCCATTTTGCTCATAGCTTCGCAAATGCAACCAGCGTTATGCAGTAAAGCGACAGAAACTTTAGCGAAATATTCACACGCGACAGTCGCGACAACCTCAGTAAATCTAACAAATGAAACAAGATGCTGAGAGAAAAAAGGGCTTCATTGATTGTTTCCGGCAGGCGGTGACAAGTAATGTACGAGATTAGAAGACCTCCTGGTCAGAATTTTTTTTGTAGCCTAAGCCCGTCATGCTTGCAGGCACCTTTCAGAGTTGGCATTCTAACAAGAGATATGGAGATGTTTAATGAGTCCATGAGTGCTGTTCGCTCATCAGTTGAATGGTTATTCGGAGATATTGTAAACTACTTTAAATTTTTAGACTTTAAAAAAAATTTGAAGATTGGACTCAGTCAAGTAGGAAAAATGTACATAGTATGTTCTATTTTAAGGAATGCTTTAACTTGTCTCTTTTCAAACACAACAGCTGATTTTTTGGACTAGATCCACCTTCATTAAATGACTATTTTAATTAACACGACTTTGTCACAGTGGACTTTTCATGAGAATAAGTTTTTTATAGATAATTCCTGTGACAGAAATGCCTCTTTAAAAGAGTTGTTTGTAAAAATTTCCTTATCTGATTAACCTTCCTCCCAGTGAGTTCCAGACTCTTGGACTGGAACATGTTGTTTTCTACTTAGCTAGCGTTAGTAAAGTTTCCTGTAAGTTTTCTTCACCAAGAATAATCAGTGATAGGGATAGATATGCTTTAACTAAGATATCCAAGCAACAAATATAGTTTTTGTTCATATAATTTTGTGCACACAAATCAGTACCTTTAAATTAATATTTAATTAACTTTTGTGGATTGGTTTGACATGTAAAAACACAACTGACGGCCTGAAACGAGGGCCTCTTATTTGTACAGAGAACAGAGGTAGAAGGAAAATCCCTCAAGTAATAAAACAAAACATTCTTTGTCACTTAAAAAACTGGCAACAATTGTGTACATATACAACATCAATAAACTTTCCTTGCTGCTGGTGACAACAGAGTTTCAACTTTTCCAGCAAAAAAAAACAAACAATACAAATGCAACAGGTGGTTTGATGTCATCTGTATCTTGTGGGCCTACAAATCAAGCAGTGTATTTTTTAAAATATTTTCATCCACAAGCCACTCCAAAATGTGCAGCAAAATATGCTGCAAAACCTGACTGTGACACAAATCCATAGATCACTTATTGGCTAATTTCTCTAATAGAGCCATCATTGCCCTTGACTGTTCTACCCTTACCAAATCCAACACTGTTTTGAAAGTATTTTTAAGCTATTTTTGAAAACTGTTTTTAACCTGTTTTGTGAAATAGGTTTTAAATAGGGTAAAAAGTGTATTTTTAATGTATTTTTCGACTGCTTTTAAAGGTGTTTTAACCTGTTTAAAACGCTATTAAAAAAGAATTTTTAAAGTATTTTAAAATGCTTTTAAAATATATAAAAAATCCCAGGGCTTTTGCAAGGCTCAAAACAGGTCAAAACAGTTTGTAAATACCTTATAAATCGGAATAAAAACAGGATAAAAACAGTTTCAAAAACATATTTTAATTTACTATACTATTTTAAAACTATTTTTAATGGCAATTTTAAACGTATTTTGAAAAAATCCGGTTTAAAATAGGTACAAAAATATATTTTTGATATATTTTTCGACTGATTTTAAAGGTGTTTTAACCTGTTTAAAACGCTATTAAAATGTTATGCTTCAAAATATATTTTAATAGCTGTTTAATCGGTTTCGAAATTTAGTAAAATACTCGTATTTGCAAATACAATAAAAATACTTTGAAAACAGTATTAAAATACCACAGAAGAAGAAAAGCAATAGCACACATATATTATGAATTAAATACATCAAAAATAGGATGCAAAAATGCAAAAACAGTATAAAATTGTAAGAACATAGCCTTAGAGTTGTCTGAAAACAGTATAAAAATCGGTCGAAAGAGCATTAAAATAGTACAAAAATAGGATGGAAATACCATTTAAATTCATGAAATAAAATGAATACAAAACCGTCGAAAATTACCCTGAAAAAGCAAGATTTACCTCGGCGAAATTTCGCCACACAGTCCTACTTTACGTTGATTTCCCTAAGAATTCTCGGGAAATTCTTATGGAATTTTTCAGAAATGCTCAAATCAATCTTTAGCCTGTGTACAGACCCCTTCCCTCAATAAAACTCGGAGGGGAGGGGGGGTATGTACACAGGCTATCAACCTTTAGCTTCAAAAGGGTATAACGTTACTGACGTTACCGGTAAATATTAATCTACATGCATGTAACTTACATTGTTTATTATATTCACGGCTTTACTCAAATATCATCAGAAGCTTAATGCAGGCTACGCCTGAACATTAATTAGTGGCTGATAAAGAACAGCCTACGAATAAATTTACGCGAGAATGAAAGAGGCCGGTGACGTGACATCAAGTGACTGAGATCATTTATACAAAACAGCGAGTCTCTGCAAGGAATCCTGTAAAAAGTAAAATTGCCGTACGGGCGCGACTATATAAGTGTTTACTACCCTTCATTTGTTTCTCATATGGCGTATATCTAAGCGTCTTAGTGACATTGTATACTTAATACTTACAATTAGACTCTTGGACTCTTCTCCTGAACCAGAACCTTTCAAAGTACATAACAGTCGCTGAGGAGTCATAACCATTTTTGATTCGTGATAAAAGCAACATCTACGTGTTCCGAAAATCCGCAGAGTTGGAGTGTACTTTTGTAAGATCGTAACAAACAGTAAAATCAAGCGCATTTAAGCTCACAGCAACCGCCCGGGAGCAACCGCCGGTTCAATAATTTGAAATGAGCAAAGGACAAAGGACGGTTTGCTTATCACGTGCATTTGTCACATCACCGCGGCGCGAAGTCGTGATTTCAGTCGCGCGTGACATCTCAAAAATAATATGCCATGCATGTGCGGAATAGTCTAAGAGAGAAAGATAACCATATGTCGGAGTTTATTCAGATCTGAGCGTTGTTTCTTAGTGCAATATATACGAGGTGAGATCTTAGCTTGGATAGTTTGTTTTAATTATTATGAAATTTCAAGGACTTATTTTAGACAAATCTCAATTGACTGCGTGCATCCGCGGTTCTCGGCCCGCGGCTTCGGCTGTTTGCGAAAAATTTCTACATGAAAATTAAAATGTGATTTTAAGAATTTTCTTTTAAAAAAACTTATGGAATGTCCCGTAGCTGCATTAATTGAATCACGGCTAAAATCTAGGCGGAGATTTTCGCAGAGAGCTTGCAGGTAATGAACATTGACTGAGGAACGGATTGATCCTTTATCGGCACACTGTCACAGTTACGTGTTGTCAGTCAAAGCTAAAATCTATTCCTAATTTTCTTCTCTTTTTTCAATTTCTTTTTGATTTGCTGGGAGATTTAATTTTTGGCTCCGCCTCGAGCTTTATTGAGAGAAGAATCCGGTCCACAATATGACAGCTTGTTTTGAGTCATTTATGAGTTCGTGACACGATGAAGGCTTAAAAATTAACTTTGTGCAATTGTTACTTTTATAGTCTGAGTATAAGTATCCCAAAATACATTACAATATTGCACCTCAATAATAATAAGTAATAAGTACCCTATTTTAAAGTATTTAAAATAAGGTCAGCATTTGATGTCTTTCAGCAGACTTTAAATATTTTATGTACAATCTGTTTTTATAGTCAGAGAGTTGTGTGCCCAAAATACAATTCAAATAGACCTCAAAACAGTGTTTAAGTACCCTATTTAAAAGTATTTGAAATGCGGTCAGTAGTTAAGGACTTAAAACATATTTCAAATAGTCTATTTGAACTCTGTTTGTAATTTTGTGAGTGGATGCGTCTCAAAATACATTTTCGACACAACTCAAAACAGTGTTAAAGTACCCTATTTAAAAGTATTTAAGATACGGTCAGCATTTAGGCTCTCAAAACATATTTTAAATAGTCTATTTGAATTATGTTTTTAACTTTGTGAGTGGATGCGCCTCAAAATACATTGTAGATGCAACTCAAAACAGTGTTAAAGCACCCTATTTAAAAGTATTTAAAAAACAGTCGCATTTAAGCCCTTAAAACATATGTCAAATAGTCTATTTGAACTCTGTTTGTAACAGTGTTAGTGGTTCTATGCCCAAAATACATTTGAAATACCCTATTTTAATCATATTTATTAAACAAAATACATTGTAAATTGATGAGAGAGGTTTTCCTTTTGATGAAATATAATTTAACTACACTTAAGATATATTCCAAACAGGGGCGAAAATTTAAAGTTTTTTATCAAATACGATTAAAATACAGGAAAATAGTATTCAAATACTGAAAATACATTTTAAACACTTTAAAATCAGTTTCAAAATACATATGGTTTGGTAAGGGTAGATTTATCAGTGCTGCGAAAGTGTGTGATCGTGTGGTTTCCGGATTGTGTTGACAGGCAGAACTCAGAAATGTGGTCGCGTGGTTGGGCTGTTGCACCAAAATATTCTGCGCCAGCCATAAATGCTTTTCTTCAGTGTTTATCTTCGCTGATTGTTCCTTGAAAAACCAATTGTCGACTCTGGAAAATTGGATCTAGGTTTAGTTTCGGCGGGTTAGCTCTTGGCTTTTAACCATAGGCTGGTTTTGCAGATAAGAAGCTGTTATCATAATTCCAAGTACGGGGTGGGGCTGACTAGTGACTTTCCTCTCTTGATAAGTGTTTATCTTTTTGGAGAAAGTGCTAGTTATTTAACGGATAGGAATATCATGATCTAAAATTAGAATTTTTGTAACGGACGTTTTATGTACCCACTGAAACTTAATACCTATTTAATAGTTTTTGGTTAGAGGAGAGTTTTCCATATTCGGGACGAATTTGGTAGAGGTTTGTTTGCGCAAATCGAAAATGAAAACGTTACAGTTTGATCACATGCTCGGAGATTTTGCATCTATTAAAAAAGCAAGAACTTTGTATCCGCGAATGATTGTTCTCGGATTTACAGTTGTGTACGTGTAAACGAAAGCGAATCCGACACTAAGTGTAATTAATGTACTTAAGAAACATTTATGAATCCGGAAAAATCTCCTCTTTTGTTAGCCTCAGCTAAGGACCTATTTTCGTTTTCTTTGGAGAATAAAATTCCTGCGAAACGAAAATTTTAGCGAAACCGCGTGCAGCTGTAAGAGAGAATGCCTGATCTCAAGTAACGCAGGATGCTCTAGGGTAAACCTAGCCTGAGGTCATTGTCGAGTTACATTGCTCTGTATATAAATGAAGATATATTCTTGAACAAACACACAACTGTGA